AAAAATTATATTACTACATAGTCCATACAAAAATAATTACGTACCATATTATTTTACGGATGAGAGAGTATATTTACCAATTACTAATTTAACGAATTTTCTCCAAGATTTTATGATTTATTTTTTGTTTATAATAAGTAATCTATTAGTGTTGTATATGTATACATATAATTATTGTTTTTTAATAATTTTTTTAGTATTTAAAAATTATATTAAATTTTAATTAATTTCAAATCAAATAAAATTTTTTTTCTTAGTATCAGTTTTCCTATTTATTAAATTTAAATTTAATTTTTTTTATTTAAAATGAAATCAAATTTCTTTCACTTTGATTAATAAATCATTAATATAGGATAATTGTTATTTATATTACAATAATAATGATTTGTATTGTAAGACCCTTTAAAAGCTCAATTTCATTTCTACAAGGGGTTCAATTCAGGTAAGATGAGGAATCTTAATTGAAGGCAAATAAGGAATATTTGTTTAAAAAAAAGTCTAATTAGGTTTGAATTATAATTATAATATTTATATAAACGTTTATTTTTTTACATTGTGCTACTAACTAAAGAGAATAATCAATTAGAGAGAGACTATCATTGTAAATATCAATAACGAAATTATTTTTTAGTTAAGCGATTTTTCTTTTTTCTTTAGCACATATGCACATACTAAATGTATAGAAAGAGTGGAAATTAAAATGTCTTATAAATTTTTTTTTTGGGGGCCAATTGGCCAACAAGATGTCTTGTTTCTTGACTTTCAATTTCTCCATTAAAAAAATTGACTACAATAAAAAAATAAAATAAAATAAAAAGCCGATAAAAATCTAAAAGAAATTTGTCAATTCTACGAAATGGCATGGTTTGAGAATTTTAACGGTAGTAAGGGCAAAAGTGGCATAACGTTACAAGCAACATAACTACTAAATAGTAAATACATTAATTAAAAAATTAAAACTTGGCGATTGCAGGTATTTTTGAGCCAATGGATTGATTTACACAGATTTCTGAAACTTGCCATTGTTTGTAGTCTTCTTGCCTTTCCTTTCCTTCTCCCTCCTCAGGCCCAGCAATAATTTGAGGGGCGGTTTTTGCTATATAACCTTCACCCTTTTTTCTCCATCAACCCATCTTCTTTTTCACACCCATCTCTCACTCTCCCACTGAAAGAAAAACTACAGAACCAATCATGGAGAATTCTGGAGCTTCAAGGAGGCCTTGTTTCATTGAAGAAGACGATGGGTTGGCTTCCCTTGCCGATATGGAAGCTGGGTTTTCCGGTAATAGTCAGAGCGCTTCCTTTTCTAGACCTCTTCGTTACAGACGGAGCAACAGCCTGAGGAATCTCGCTGCTCCCGTTTCTTCTCCGAGATCTGTCAGCGTCAGGTTCTACGACTCTGGATGTGAGGATAATCCGCCTTATTTCTTAGATTCATGTTTCCTTTGCAACAAGCCTCTGGCAGTTAACAAAGACATCTTCATGTACAGGTTAGCCTTGTTTTTCAAGGTTTTAATTTTAAGTATTCAAGCAAGAAAATCTGCAAAATTTCAACTTGTGAGTAGATTTTTAGATCTGTGTGGTCAAAAAATTCCTTGAATTTGGGAAATCAAGGGTTTATAATTTTCTGAATTTCTATTATTAAATTTCCCAATTTGGTTTTTTTTTTTTTTTTTTTGAAATTCTGTTTTGATCATTTTTGTTTTCCCCCAAAAAGCTGTAGTGAGAGTTTTGGTTTTCTGATGGGAATTTTGTGAAATTTGCAGAGGGGATACACCATTCTGCAGTGAAGAGTGCAGGCAACGGCAAATTGAGATAGATGAAGGGGAAGAGAAGAATCTTCCTTCCTCCTCCATGAAAGCTTTGAGAAACAAGGACCAAAGAAAATCTGCTTCCCCCAACAAAGCACAAGAGTACTCTCTCAGAACTGGCACCGTAGCAGCTGGTTGATTTAGAATTACCCCTCAAAAGAAAAAATAAAATAAAATCTACTAGATTACCAGACAAAAACAGAAAAAAGGAAGAACGCCGTCTTGAGTTTTTTTTTTTTTTTTTCCTCCTCTTAAATGAACTGAAAAAAAAAAAAAGAAAAAAGAGAGAGGAAGCTTAAAGCTTTGAATTGTGAATGCTAAAATATGAGAGAATGTGAGTTAGCTTTGTTCTACTCTATCATGTTATTGCTCTATTTTTGGGCTTTTTTATGGTGCTCTGTAGAGTTTAGTTTGTTAATGTTAATGTATAACTGAAGAAGATAAACAGAAAAAAGGAAGAACTTTTTTTTTTCCCTCTTCTTGATCTGTATTCTGTACTATACAGTCTTAATGGTGATTTTGCTTATGTTGTTATTAATTTCATCAAAGCTTAGTTCATCTCTGTATTTATTTTTTACCCTTCTTCCTTGGTCTAGAGAGAGAAGTTTTTTGAAAGCAGGTAATGAGTCAAGAGAAAAACTGTAAGCAAGAAAAAGGAAAGGAAGACCGGAAGAGAGAGTACTTTTCCTTTGGAAAAAAAAAAGTTGTGGAGCCTGTATCCACATTCCATTCAAAAAAAAAAAAAAAAAGGGGGGAAGAAAAGTTGAGGAGCCTGTAGTCCAGAATAATTGTTGCCTAACAGTTCCCCACCTGGGAAACAAGGACTGATTCCCATGCCAGCTTGTTGGTCATGCAATGCAGTGATGTTTGATTAACCCTTTTTGGGCTCTGAGATACTTGCAATGCTTAGGAATGAAGAAATTTCTTCAATTGGGAGATGTGAAGAATGAAAATGATGTCTGAGTTGGATTTTCCTTGTTAGAAATCAAAATATCTTCATTGGGCCAAAGTTCGGTCTAAAACATTGGGCTAAGAGTCTTCTTCCTGTTAGGCCCACATTTGTCTCTGAGCTGCATTGGAAGGATCATATGCCATGTTGAATTTTCCCCTTTTTTACACCCACTTTTTTTTCCTACGATTGATTTGTTAATTTATTCAGTTAACAATAATTTACTTTTGCACTTTCTCAGTTTCTCCTACAAAAAGATATTTTGCATAAATTTCTAGTTCTCTTTTCTTAATAAAGGCAAAATGGTTTAATTTGTTTCCAAATCTTTTGTGTAGAACATGGTAATATAATACACAAAACTTGCTTATAAAAACATAAAAAAAAAATTTTACAGTATCATTTTTTTAAAATATTTGCTGTGAAGATTTTTTAAAATTAATTTTTACACATCTTGAAGGAGTATTCACATTTGCATAATGCATTTAAAAAAATTAATTTTCTTTAAATATTTATAAGTGCTTTTTAGATTAGTTTTTAGGTACAATTGATAGTTATTAATTGATATTTATTAATAATAATAATAATTTATTATTTAAAATATTTAGTCAATTTAATTAAGATGACAGTGGATAACTATTTGTAAAAAATTAAAATAAATGCTTCCTTACACTCTAAATTTAATTTGTAACAATACTTGCTTAACAGATAATTAAATCCTTAATAATATATTTAGTTTGAAAAAAATATTAAAAATTATTTTATTTTGTTAACAGTAAATTGAAAATATTTTTTTTGTGTGAGGATCTTACAAAACTGAAAAATAAATTAAAGGGTACGCACGTGGCTTAACGGTCGTTACGCTTTGATGCCACGTGCTGTCTCGCGAATCAAGACAAGTGGGCGTGGTCGTCCATGGGTAGGGATGTCAACGGGGCTCGCGGGATCGGGGACCCCTTCACCATCCCCGTCCCCGTGAGTCATGGGGACGGGGATCCCGTGGGGATTTTTTACGGGGATTTTGCCCCCCATCCTCGTTCCCCGGGAACAGTAGCAATAGCAATGGCAACAGATGGCAGCAGATGGCTTTATAGCAGCAGCAAATCGCTCTAGCGGCAGCAAAGCAGATGGATCTGATCCGGCAGCAGGCCAGTGGCAGCAAAGCAGATGGATCCGGTCCGACAACAGGCCAGCGGCAGAGCAGATTCATACAAGCAACGAATCATTGAATATCATTCACTTTTAGCAAATTCATATAAGTTTAAGCACCAAACATCGAGAAATTGCAGAATATGAAACAAAAACACCCAAGGTAGAAATTTTGGAGAAAGGCAGATCCAGATCTGAAGGAGGGATCCCACGATCAGAGAAAATGGAGAAAGGGGGTTCTGGATGGGAGAAGAATCAGGT